GAATGAGTTGAAGACCTTTTTAATAATTTAGCCTTAGTTAAATAAACAAAAAAATTTTATTTAAAATGATTAGGATTGAAATTTTAATGACTAAAATTAAAAATCTTAACATTATTCCAATAGACAAAGGAAAAATTTAGAACTTAAAATATAAACTAGTTTAATAAATGAGTAAGATCGAACACACTGACCCACCCCTCATTTAATAAACTTATTAAAAGAAAGCAAACTGTCATAACATATTGTCGTAATGGTTTTGTGTCCGCCCGACAAATTTAAAAACGAAATAAAAAATAACGGAGTTGCCACCAATCTTTTTTGGCTAGGTGCGATTGGCCACCTATTAAAACATATCTTTTTAATAAAGTTTTAAAATTAATTAAAATTTATTAAAAAGATAATTTTATGATCTACGAAACAGTCTGGGTTAGGGAGTCGGTTACGCGTGAGGAAGGATTAGTACCCCCACAGCACCCGTTAAAAAAATGGTACCAATTAACAACATGTTATCTTTTGATTTTGATAAAAATAGTCTAATTTTCAGAGTTCGAAAAATAATTTCCTTGATTTTTATTTATTAGAAAAAAATTTATTCTCGAGAAAAATAAATTAAAACCCTCTTATTGAAATAATTCTTAAAATATTTCAGTACGTTGGTAACATTAGAAGAACTTTTTCTCACCTAAAGATTTCTTAGGCCCCGCTTCTCGGAATACCTTAGAATCTCTTTCTCGGAGGCTCAAATTTACTTTTCGTAAAAAAATGTCATGCATGCAATGTAAAATGTTACCATGTTGATGCACACATTTTATTTTCCTTTGTTAGAAAATTTATTAATTATTTTATTAATATTCTTATTTAAAACTAAAATTTTGAAGAAAAAGGAATTTTATTATATTGAAGATTTTCTATAAATATTCCAATACATTGGTGATATTTTATAAAAAATTTTTTTACCTAGAGATTTCTTAAAGCATCTCTACTCGAAATACTTTTAGAATCCTATCATCGGATAAAATTTTTTTTCTTCCCATTTTTATTACTTGTATTTTTAATTCATTAACCAATTTTTATTTATTACTTTTAAAAAAAGAAAATTTTTAGTGTATTGAAAATTTTTTATAAATACTCTAATACACTGGTAGTATTTTTAACAAAATCTTCTTACCTAGAGATTTCGTAGATATCACTACTCGAAATACCTTTGAATCTCATCGTCGGATAAAAATTTCCTTTTCTTACATTTTTTATTAGTTTAGTATTATTATTAAATTTATTTTTATATTATTTTATTTTTAAAGTTCTTTTTAAAAATTAATAAAATTATAAAAAAAATTTAACCACATATTTCATAATTTAATCTAACAAATATAAATATTTTAATATGCATAAATATTAATAAAATAATATATAAAAAATAAAAAAAATTTTTACCTGAACAGGACCGGTCAACGATCCAGTCAATGCGCGGTTTGGTTCGATGGTTAGGCTCGATCCTGGGCACGGTCTGGGGGTTCAGCGGATTGAGCGCGGTCTGATTCGGTTTGGTCTTATTCAAATGGACCGGTCAGGGGCTGAAGGAGAAACAAGTCGTCGGGTCACGGGTCGGCGCACGAATCCTCAGAGGCTAAAACGGCATCGTTTTGGGCCTTTAATGAAACGATGTCGTTTTGGTTCTGACGATTTATATAAAATGTTCAAATTTTTTTTCAAACATTTTTTTTCTTCTAAAAAAAAATGCTTGATTTTTTTTCTTTCTTCTTTTTCGGCCGACCTGAGCTGGTGGCAATTCGTCACGACGATCGTCGCAGTCCTTGCCGGCAACGAACTTCGATCACCGTCGACGGTGTCAAAAAATTAAAAAAAAACTCTCACAAACTCCTCTCGACCCCCTAAACGCAAATCCAACCTTTTTTTCACCAAAAATGGTCCCTACTTCCCTAGATCTGCTTTCAAAGTTTCGGTGATATTTTTTTTTTGTATTTTGACCCTTTTTTTTTTAAACTGACCCCTTTTTTCTTCGTGCAAAAAGCTCGACGTTGGGTTCCTCCTTACGGAGAGGACTGTGTATATATATATTTTTTATATTTTTTTCTTTCATTTTTAAAGCGTCTCTCCTCCTTTTTCTCTCTCTGTTTTGGTTTGGCTATGAGCTCTATTTATAGAGCTCTGACCATGCATCTGCTTGAGGGAAGGGCATGGGGCTCGGCATGGGGTGTAAACATGAGCCTCATGCCTTTTTTATTCGTTTCTGTCTTATTTGATAGTTTGTCAACGGGAGGAGTAATTAGAGGGGTGGAGGGTAGAGTATAATGATCAGAAGGGTGGGGTGTAGGGTCTGGTGGCAGTGGTGCCAGGGAAGGCACCACTGCCATCCTCGATTTTTCTGTTCTGTTCTATTTTTTTTATTATTTTTGGTATTTTTTATATTTCATATTTTGTATTTATATGTATTTTGTATTTCTGGACAAATTGATGTCCACACATATAGATCTTTAAATCTATAGCTATACTTAATAAATAGATGGAGTCACCACCAATCTTTTTTTATTAGGTGTGATTGGTCACTTAAGAAATCTATCTTTTTAAGGGGTTTCTAAGCTTGCTTAAGGATCCCTAAAAAATAAGTTTGGATCTACAAACCAAAACAATGTTCAGGAGTTTGGTTACATGTGAGAAAGGTTATAGCATCCCCACATGGCCATTCGAAAGATGGTATCATAGTATTTAAATTTATCCTAAGGTTTTGAGTCTAATGGTTTTAAAAATCTAATATGCAAATATTGAAAATAATTCTTAAGATTCTCCATCAATCTGATGAAACTCTTAAAATATTTTTTCCCCTTAAGAATATTTAATAATCGCATTTGTTTTCTTGAAAAAGTTCCGTCGTCGGTAAGATTTTTTAATTATTTTTCATTGTTGAAAAAATATATAATTATTCTACCATTTGGCCAAATTAGAAATACTTTTTTTTATTTTTTTTATTTCTAAATTTTTCACCATTTGGGCCAATTTAAAAATATTTTCTTTTTCAGAATTTCTAAATTTTTTCACAATTTGGGCTTATTTAAAAAATCTTTTTCCTTCTCTTTTTTTTTGAAAGAAAATAATATGACAATTATTTTTTTATTGAAATTTCATTTAAATTTTTTTATCTTCTGGGACAAATTTAAAGAAATGTTTCACCTAAAGATTTTTTAAAAAATTTACTATTTGTAACTTCTAAGAATTTTATTCTTGGGTAATTATCAAATATTTTCAACCAATTTTTTATTTGAAAAAGAATACAATTACTTTTATTAAAATTTTATCTAAATTATACCAAAATTTGGGACGAATTTAAAAAAAATTTCTTACATAGAGATTTCTTAGAAAATTACTATTTGAAAATTCTAAGAATCTCATCATTGGGTAGTTTGTATTTAATTCCAAAATTTTTATTTTTTAATTTTTTATACTTTTCATTTTTTTGTTTGGAAATAAACATTAATTATTATTATTGAAATTTTATCTAAATTATTCCACAATTTGGGATAAATTTAGACAAAATTTCTCACCCAAGAATTTTATAAAAATTTATCATTTGAAATTTTTATAAATTTCATTATTGGATAATTAATATTTATTCTCAAAATTTATTATTTATTTTTTCAAATAAATCATGCAAAAATACTAAAAGAAAAATAGATAAATAAATGCACAAAATAAATAAATAAAATACCAAAAAAAAAAAAAAAACCAAAGAACAGCTCGGCTCGGCTTGAGGCACAAAGATTGGTTAAAAGGCACGACTGAGAGGACGCGGCTTAGCTGAGGGCTGGTTGGGACACAGGTCGATCAAACGGGTTGAGCTCGGGTCGGGTTGACCCAAATAAAAATGCACGAATCTTGGAAATTTATTGTCGCCAAAACGATGTCATTTTGCACAGGTATAAAATGTTGAAATTCTCGTTTTTCTTCAAAATTTTCATTTCCTTCTCTCTCCCCTTCTTTTCTGTCATACTCTCTCTAAAAAAACTCAGATTCCGATTGAATGTTATACTAAAATCCGAAAAAACACGTCAAAAACTAGAAAAAATCATCGAAAAATTCAAGTTTGGTCGAAAAGTTCATCGGAATATTAATCGAAATCTGAAATTTTTTCAAAAATTTTCCAAAAAAAAGCGCCAAAAATTCTATAAAAAATCTTAAAATTGTTTTTGACACCTTTCAAAAATTTTTTTAAATTCTGCCTTCTGTTTTCTGCTCTCTATTTTTTTTTTTTTTTTGTGTTTTGTCTCCAAGCCTATATTTATAGGCAAAATATGAAGAGAATTTTCGTTTTATTATGAGTCCATAATTTGTTGGGATTTCACATATCCCATACTGATTAAGTCCATCTTTTTTTTTAATCATTATCCCTTAAAATAAAAAGATAAATAATTAAAATAATAATAATAATAATAATTGAGCCAATTTGTCCCATTTAAATTATGCCCAATTGATTCAGATCTGAACCAAATTAAATGTCTATACAAACCAACTAAGATTTTATTTAGTTTAAATTAAGCGTGTTGCTTTTAAAAGGTGGGCGAAAGTAATGGTACTAAATGCTAACCAAATTTAAGATTGATCAAATTACTTTTCCCTTTGTTTGTCCTTTTTTTCTTTTCCTTTGATTCTTGTTCTCAAGTTCAACCAAAAAAACAAAAAGCTAAGAAAACTATAGTTTCGTGTAGGTGGGGAGGGAGACATTGATTGTTTGTTTTCTCCAAATCAGAGTTCTTAACGTAAAATATGTTCAATTTTGAAAATACACTTAAAAATAAAAATAAAAAAGATAAAATTGATTTTAGATAAATTAAAAATAATTATAAAAGTAAGATTGATTAATGTAGTGATAAAAAAAATTAAATTGATGTTGTTAGAAAATTAAAAATCATTAAAATCTTTGGGGTAATTTCTATTAGGTGGACCATATGAATTAGAAATCATTAACGTTTCCCTGTATAAAAATTTGTGTGATTGGAATATAAATTTTTGAGAGACAGATACAATCCAAAGCCTTTTGCTTTTTGTTTAGTGATAACACTCTTTACTTTTTCAACATTTTGTCGACTTACAAGGAAAAATCAATAATATCTTGGGGTGGTAATTTCAATTAAATGGCCCAAACTCCAAATAGCAGATCTTAAGTTTGACAGCTGTATTAGGGTTCGATAGATGGGGAGATAAATTGTAATACAGTTAGCTCGTGGCTAACGTCCTGCCGCGACGAACAAGTACTAGCATTTTTTTTTTTTTTATAACTAGAATCTGGATTTGGGTTTGCAGACAAGGATTGGGAACCGAGAATGAGCCCTTCAATGAAGGATACAGCATTTGGAACAATGGAGAGGGAAGGAGAGTATGTTAATGGAATCAATGACCAAGGTGATTTTGATCCGAGAGCACCTCCTCCCTTCAGGATTGCCGATATCCGAGCTGTCATCCCAAAGCATTGTTGGGTCAAGAATCCTTGGAGGTCATTGAGTTATGTTTTCTGGGATGTCAGTGTGGTTTTTGCATTGGTAGCAGCTGCACTCTACTTGAATAGATGGTTCCTTTGGCCAATCTACTGGATTGGCCAGGGAACAATGTTTTGGGCTCTCTTTGTCCTTGGACATGATTGGTGATCATATCTATCTTTCCTGTTCTATTTTTTCCAGTAATGGTTAACATTTTACATCTATTAAATCTATTTGTTTTGGATTGTGCAGTGGCCACGGAAGCTTCTCGGACAATCCCATTCTTAATAGTGTGGTGGGACATATCTTACATTCATCAATTCTTGTTCCTTACCATGGATGGTAAGTTGATTAGGTAACATTTGATCTGTACGTTGTACACTTGCAATCCTTCTCGAAACATCATTTGAAAATCTTGCAGGAGAATAAGCCATAGAACTCATCATCAGAACCATGGAAATGTCGAGAAGGATGAGTCATGGGTTCCGGTAATTAAACATTCTCTACTTTTGCTTCTAATCCATGCGAATCAATGTATCACATTGGAAACTGATCCTTCACAATCATTTTTTAAATCTCAGCTGCCTGAGAAGATTTACAACAATTTGGACATCAGTACTCGAATTCTAAGATTCGCTGTCCCCTTCCCTCTATTTGCATACCCAATGTATTTGGTGAGAAAGCTTGTTTTAGTTAATCTAATTATATGCAAAGATTAACATTAATTTCCTTATCTTTGTTTAATTTGTTGCATTATATATAGTGGTATAGAAGTCCAGGCAAGGATGGATCTCACTTCAATCCTTACAGCAACCTGTTCACCTCCCAAGAGAGGAAACTTGTGATGACTTCAACCGCCTGTTGGACTGCAATGGCTATTCTGATTGCCTATTTATCCTATGCATTTGGCCCAACGCAGGTGTTTAAGCTCTATGGTGTTCCCTACTTGGTAGGTCAAGTGGCACCTTACTAATCGAGTTTCTAGTTTTATATGTATGGAATTTCTCTGATAGTAATGGAATGATCTATCATTTGTAGATTTTCGTGGCATGGCTGGATTTAGTGACTTACCTACATCACCATGGCCATGAGCAGAAACTTCCTTGGTACCGTGGCAAGGTAAGGGGTATAGCCTTACATAAATGCTTCAATTAACTTTGTATGCTGCATTGGACAGTAAAAGTTTCTTCAACTTGAGAGCGGATTTTGTTCTATATTAATTTGACAGGAGTGGAGTTACCTCAGAGGAGGGCTTACAACAGTGGATCGTGATTACGGTTTATTCAACAATATCCACCATAACATTGGCACTCATGTCATACATCATCTCTTCCCTCAAATCCCTCATTATCACTTAGTAGAAGCGGTAATATTCTTGATTAATTAATTAGTTTCATCAAACAGATTGATTTGACAAAACAAATTAAATATAGTAATGGTTTAATGCTTTTGCCTTGCAGACTAAAGCAGCCAAACCAGTGATTGGAAAATACTATAGGGAGCCGAAGAAATCAGGGCCTATTCCATTTCACTTAATCAAGAATTTGGTTACAAGCCTCGGACAAGATCATTATGTGAGCAACAATGGAGATATAGTATATTATCAGACTGATCCACAGCTGTTCCAGTTGCTTTCCCTTGGCAAATCTGAATGATAAATTTAGAACATAGCTGAAGAAGGAACCATAATTCCTTTACTTGTTTCAACATCAACAAGTATCAGAGTTTGTACTTTTTTTTTTTTTGCCACTTCAAATAATTAACATTAAAGTTATTTCAGGAATCTCATCTGAAAGAAAGATGTTGATCATCATCCTTTTTTTTTTTAAGTGAAGGATCTTTTCATAGATTGATGTGATGCACATGATCTCACATGTTAAAGACTTGAATTTCCTTTATCCTTTAATAAAAAAAAGCAACAATTGCGTCTGGATTTATTAGCCTTTCATAAAAGTAATAATGGGGAAAGCGTCCTTATGGACATCAACAGGAACAAAACTTTTTTTTTTACATTCTCCAAGGACGTACATAAACTCGAACTTGGAATTTCTAAATTTGTTAAAAATGAAAATTAGGATCAAGCTACTGCTAAACCATTACCTGAACAGGCTTGAACCAAGGCATCAGAAAGGAACTCAGGCACACGTTAGACCCAAACAAGAAATTTCAAAGGTCGACCCCATGTCCCCATCTGATCTATTTGCAGCTCTGTGTCATAACTGTTTGAAAATCCCAACAGAGAAAAAGTAGGTAGAAACATCAGACATAGCAACAGATTTCGGTCGCGAGAGAGCACAGCATTACCCTCTTGTTTAAAACCTTTGTTGGTTGGCCAAGTTTTGAGAGGCCACTTTAAAGTGGGAAAGTCAGCATCTTCGGCTCCAAACCCAAAGATTTTCCACAGCCCCACACCATCCTAGTACTCTCCTCTGAAGCACTGTCTCTCTCACCAACCCATTTGTCTCCTTTGCATTCTAAACAACCCGTGAATACGAAGCATCATGCCCTCATTTTCCAATATAAAAAATGAATAGAATAAATTATCATTTTATAATTATTTATTTTTTGTGACTAATCGAACTATCAAATTGTCCAATAGTTTACTGTTTCTCTTTGTTTCGTGGCTTATTCGATGATTAATTGTTACATTAAAAACAAATATAATGACTACCATTTTTTCCTTAGCTTTTGTGCTTTTATGGCAAGGTTGTCAGCTGACAGGTGATGCTAATAGTGTCAAAGAAAAATGGTCTTTCCTCACATTTTTAGAGCTTTGCAAAGAATCTTGTATAGATGTCATAGTCTATAAAATTTTGTATTAATAGATCAATATTCTATCCGAGGTTTTCAGTTTTCAGTTATCATTGTACATTTTTTTTTACTTTTTCAACTTTTAAACTTTTAGTTTTATATTCTAAAACCCATATATTTATTTATTATCTTTGTGCGTGTTGTAGCTTTGTTATGCCCTTTAATCTAGTGTTGGAGATCTTTATAAGATATATAGACAATTTTAGGTATTAGGAACATGGAGTAAAAAGTTAAAAATTATGTTTGTTTAGAAAAACTTTATAATCATAGTTTATACGTGGATTCTCGATTAGAAAATCATATGTTGATAATCAGTTATAGTATTAATAGTTTAATTGATTTAGCTACTATTTTCTTTAAAAATTTGTTTAATAAAGTTGATATACTATAATAAAAAATATATAGTTTAAGACAAGTTACTTGCTTATATTTAAACCAAGATTTTAAAAATTATTAATAAATATTAATAAAAAATTAGAATTATTAGAAGTTGATAAAAGTCAAACAAATGAATTTGAACCTTTATATTTTGGTAATACTATTCTTACTCTTAATGATGATAAACCATCATCTTCTCAACCAACTAAGTTTTCTAAAGCTAAAAAATTAGATTTTAAATCCTATAAAAGTCTTATAAAACATCTTAAGTATAAAATGAAAAAAACTACTATTCTTAAAGAAATGACTGATTATTTGAATATGAGAAAAGAAATATATGAAACACGTATATAACTTTTTAAAAAGTTTAATTATCATTATATGCTTAATTATGATATTATTTATAAAGTGGTTCATATGAAAAAGATAAAATTTTAATTACTAATCCAGTAGTAAAAGATGAGACTAGTAATATAGAATTTTCATCTTCTAAATAAGTCAAATAAGAGATTGATACTAAACCTATACCTATGGATCTTTATCAACAAAAAGTTGATAAGGGAAAAGAAAAATTTTTAACCAAGAAATTGATGATAAAAATAAGTTTGATAATATAACCGAAGATGATATTTATAAAGATGAAATTAAACAAATAGGAACATCTTTCGAAACTGTTACAAAACCTATACGACAATCTAATTTTATAGAATTTTTAAAGAAAAGAACTGTAACTCAAGGTTGAACATATTTAGATCTTTCAAAAATCTCTATAAATGACTATGAAAAAATTATAGAAGATTGGGCACAATCTATGACTATAGTATTAAACAACTATAAAGACACTTGGTTTAAAGAAAATTTATTAAATTATTTCCATGGAACATTTCAAGGAAATGTTTTGCAATTTTTGCATAAATAGGAAAACTCTGAAGTAAGAAAAGTTCAAAAAGGAACTTTTCTAAAACAAATTACTACTATACCAAATTTATTAAAAAATCTTACAAATCTACTAAAAAATGAATTTTATGAAAGAATGGAACCAACTATTTAAAACAGTAAAGTTAATTATGTATTAACTAAAATAAAATTACATGATATAAGACATTTAGAAGAATTTTCTAAAAAATATATTCATGAATACCAAAAATTGGATGAATCACATTTTAAATTTTGGAAAGAACAATATTTTCATAAATTATCATCACTATGGGATGAACTTTGTAATCAACAGTATCCCAAATATTTAGAACTTTATAATCCTACAAAAGATAATAAAAATTATTTAGATTCTATAAGAAATAGAATTTATTTTACTTCTAAACAAATTATAAAACATTGCCTTAAAATAAAGGCTTTTAAGCAAGTAAAAAGTAAATTAAGTGATGAGCAATGCACAAAAATAGTAGAAAATGAATGAAAATTTGGATGTAAATCTCAATCCAAAACCTATTCAAAGAAATACAAAAAGAAAAGAAAATATAAATTGATAAAAAAGAAGCAAAAAAAGCATAAATTTGACCAAAAAAATTTGTTAGAAGAAAAATTTTAAAAAAGAAATCCAAGTAGAAATGTTTCTTTTGTGATGAAGAAGATCTTATAGCTTCTTAATGTCCTAATAAAGGAAAAAAATGCTAAAAAAGTTATTAATACTCTCGAATGAGATTTAGAAATTTATTTTGGAGAAAAAACTTTTGAAAAAAATTATTTATGTATTAATTTGTGAAACAGATTTTGATTCTGATGATGATGAATATATTTTTATACTTAATACAATACTTATCAGAAGTTAATAATCAAATTAATTCTGAAATTAAAGATATACCTGTTGAAGAATAGCAAATGACAAAATTAAGTTATGTCTTTGGATAAGATGTTACTATTTTAAATGAATGGTTAGAAAAACTACAATCATTAAAGAAAGATAAAATATATAAACTATCCGTCTTTTCAAAATTCAAACTATGGACACAAAGACACATAGAAAAATTTAGTGGCAACGCCATAGCTACTGATTTTAATTAAGGATCTATAGATATCCCTTTATTTACCAAAGAAAAAATAAGGAGAATTAAACAAAAATATCCTAAAGTTAGATACATACATTTAGGAATAATTATGTTAACCATACAAGTTTTATTCAAAGTTGGTAACGATATACCAATAATTGCAGTATTAGTAGACAAAAGATTTGAAAACCCTATTAAAGCACTAATAGGAGAAGTACAATCAAATCTAGTATCAGGAGCTGTTTGGTTTAAAGTAAAACCAAACTTTTTTATTTCTATTAATGACCCATTGATAGAAGATTGCCTTAAACTTAGAATAATGACAAAAAAGTCAAAAATTAGAAATGTGCCTCATGATCTGTCTATAAAGTAGACAGCTTTCAATGAATTTACTAATCATACTTTTACATATATTATATAAATAGATTCTAATATTATAGAAATATTTGAACTTGGACCTTTTGATTCAGAAATCAAATCAAGACTAATGAATCTTAGAAATCTGTCAATACCTATTGGATGGTTATTAGAAGGTATTACAGAACCTATTCTTTCTAATAGAAAAATAAAACCTATGAAATTTTTTGCATAAGGAAATAACCTATATTTCAAAAATCATGAAGAAAGTAATTCTAGTAATAATCTAGTTCTACCTCCACCCTCTTCTATACCTTTATTTTCAAATAAAGATAGTGAAGACACTGAAATTATTACTAGTGAACAATCATTTGTTTTACATAGATAATATTATCTTTCTCAACCTTAATTAATAGGAACAAAAAATATAAATATTTTTATTTTTCCAAGGGACACAAGAATTCAAAATAAAGAAAATTCAATTTACAACTCAATAAACTTAATTTTAAATTCAATTTCTTCTAAAAATACTAGCAAATATGATATTCGAAGTTTGGCTATAATCAACCAATATAAAATAGGTAATGATGAAGTAATTACATTTTCAAGAAATTAACCAAAAAGGTATTGCAATTATGTTGATGTGAAATTTAAATTTAAACAGTATAAACCATACTCTTTAAATATTTTAATGGACACCGAAGCAACTATATGTAGTTGTAGAAGTAATACTTTATCGTTAGCAAAATGGGAGCCAATGAAACACCCTATAGCAGTAATAGAAATTGATGGAAAAGAAACCATAATAGGATATAAAGCAAAAAATGTTTCTATTTATTTAATGAATAAAAAATTTATAATCTAAAAAATTTTATATTTTCCTTTTATGCATGGTGATATGTTACTAAATAATTTTTTATACAATTATTTACCTTTTTGTTTGAATATCACTAATATAGTTTTTACTATAGATAAAAAATCTACAGAAATACCATTAGTAAAAAATCATAAACATATATGTGATTTCGATTTCTGACCTGAAACTAAGAAACTGGAAATTAAATCAATTAGTAAAACACACTGATTATATAAAATTTTAAAAGAAAATTTTACTAAGGAACCATTAAAATTATGGTTTAGAAGTCCTAGATTTTGTAGTTTAAAAATTCTTAATTCAAAGAAAATAATTAGAATAAAATCAATAATCTATACTAAATAAGATATAGATGAATTCGATATACAAATTATGAACTTTTACAAAAAGGACTTATAGAACCCACTACTAGTCCACGTTTAAACCCAGCATTTATGGTAAAAAT